CCATATTTGCAACTACTGATCCTCACATTCCGATCTCCAGTAATAATGAATGCATCTTGATTGCATGTACTGAAGGAAGATGTCCAAGTAGCACTGAAGATGTCAGTGAAAAACAAGGATCCAGAAACTGACAGAACACAAATTGAAATCTGTCAACAAACTGATACAGCACTGCAACACTCACTCTTCTATGCCAAGAAATTTGGAAAACAGTTACCTGGCCAACTGATTGGAAGAGATCCATATTTGTACCCATTCCAAAGAGAAATGACCCACTGGAATGTGGAAATCATTCCACAGTATCACATGAAGTAAAATTTAGTTGAAGAGAATTCAGTAGTGGTTGCCAGTAGGACATTGACATCTACCACAACTTCAAGCCTGATTCAGAAGAGGACGTAGAATGAGGAATATCATATCACTGCTGATGTCTGATAGAACTTGCCTAAAAGCACAAACTATCAGAAAGATTCTGATTTGTACTTTATTGACTGTGCAAAGACTTTAGCTGTGTGGACCATGACATACTATTGATATCATTGTGAAGAATGGCTGTTTCAGAACAATTTGTTGTACTCGTGAGGAACCTGTACACAGACCAAGAGGCGGCCATTCAGACAGGACAAGGAAATATTTGAAAGTCGAGGCTTGAACTTTTTTGCATTTCTTTCAACTTGAGAAACACTGAGTGTGTTTTTCCCTTTTGGTTTTCTCTCTCCAGGTCTTTGCACATTTTATTATAATACTTCTGTCTTCTTGAACTGCACTTTAAAATTTTACTGTCTGCTCCTTTACTTCTTCATGTCTTCCTTCTATTTAGCTTCTCTGTGGCGCTGTGGGCTAATGTGCTGGACAGTGAAGTCAGTTTGAACCACAAGGCCAGCAATTTAAGCTCACCAGCCACTCTTTGGAAACCCTGTACAGGGTCACTGTGGGTCAGAACTGACTCAACAGCACTTAACAACATGCTGAAGAGCAAGTCTCGTCTGAAATCCATTTGAGTCTTTTCTTTCTTTTTAATGACTTTTTTTTCTTTTTTCCTGTGCGATGTTCTTGGTGTCATTTCGCAACTCTTCTGACCTTCGGTCATTCTTGTCTAATCCATCAACTCTATTCTTAAGATGATTTCTAAAATTCAGGTTAGATATATTCATGGTCATATTTTAGCTCTTAGGGTGTTTTAGTATTCTTCTGCTTCAGCCTGAATTTGCATATGAGCAGTGATGGTCTGTTCCACAGGCTTGCCTCTGGCTGATGCTCTTGGGCTCTTCCCCCACATGTAGCCATTTTAATTCCTGTACATCCCATAACTGATAAGAGAAGAAAACAGTTGGAATCACCCTGTGTCTGTTAAAGAGGTTAAATTTGTATTGAAAAATCCTCACACAAAGAAACCTATAGTTGCATTGGAGTTTGTCACACATTTAAGGTCTCTAGTTGACACACTTTTCACATGAGTCAGCTGCGTTCCCAACTCATGGCAGTTCTACGTACAACGCAATGCAAGGCTGCCTGTTCCAGCGGCGCCCTGTGATGGGTTGTAGATTCGAGTATTGTGCTCCATACGGTTCCCTTCGGCTCATTTTCTGTAGTAGATCCCCAGGCCTTTTCTTCGTAGTGCATCTTAATTTGGAAGGTCTTTGAAACCTGTTATAAATATGACTCAGAGGCAGTGAGTGGCTTCCTCTGACTTCACAAGGGGCAAGGATAATCAAAGTCTACATCAGCCCAAGACTGATTCCTCTGAGGCGAACTCACGCATGCTCCCACCCTCCAACATCCTGTAGCCATTCTGACACCCACCGCTGCTGCTGGGTTTGATCGTCCATTGCGATGATCACTCAGAACTCAGACAGTACTCCCGATTATGGGGTTTATTAGGGAAGTGAACAGGGTACAATTCAGGATCAGAAATGTTCTGGATGTAATCCTGGTTAGGAGCACCTCTTATCAACCTTTCAGCCATGTGATCCCTTGCCCTCTGCCCTGCTTGGGCAGGGTTTACAAAGCTTCTTTGTTACTGTTGTTGTTAAGTGCCGTTGATGAGGTTCGACTCATAGCGACTCTGTGTAGGTAGGGTTTTCGAGGAACACCTGGTGAGTTTGAACCATCGACCTTGTGGTTCAAATGGACCTTTTGGTGGAGAGCTTATCCTATAGATCCATTCTTTAGCACTGCCAATATATGCTTAAAGGGTACCCCATTCTGCAAGCCAGAATCTTGCCTGAAGGCACGAAGCTTTCCTTACTCGGTGGCCAGAAGCCCGGCACTCTGTGTGGTTCTCAGCTCTGCTGCTGCCACTTCTCCATACAGACATCTCTGGCTCTTCTTTCATGATGGTTATGAGATCCCCTATTCCCACCTCTGAGATGGATGGCACATTCGATATTCAGAGGGATGAGAAAACCGACCAGTCCCCAAATTAGAATCCCATCTACCCGATTTGCATGGTCCACAACAATAACCCCATTATTTAATGGAAGTCACAAAGCCTATAGCCAGAGAACCATACCAAGTAATTGGGCTGTGTCATACGCGTTCAACACTCAGGCCCCCACTGAGATGGGTGGTGGCCATGCTTGAGGTGCAGTGTCTGAGAGGGAAACCTGGGTCTCCTCTATGGAAAGTGAGGATTCCCCCATTGCCCCATACATGAAAGATGAGTTTGATTAACAGCAACACACCACCTACTCTATGGTGTGCTGGAGACGGGCTATGCTCTGCTCCAAGTTCCCGTATTCCATCCTGATTTTGCCCCTGATCTCGGGGTCCTTGGGGAAGCCATTGGTATCCCCGTGCCTCAGTCTTCTCCGTCTTTATTCAAAAGCCCCACATGCTGTTCGCAGTACATGTCACTCAGTATTAAGCACAAGGACAGACATGGACTGAGTATTTATTTGTTTTATTATTAGAATCAAGAAGTCCCATTTACCAGCTCTGTAAAATTCTGTGTAGAGCCATTCTTTCTTGCCTAATAAATATACAATCGATACCTGAGATGGGATGGGACGCAGATTGGAGGACTGACAGTTTGTCCTCCGTGCCTAAGTGGGATTTAGAGGTTGTGATTCAGGAATGTTGTTGTAGGTTAAATCTTTCATAGAATTGTCAAATAAAATTTTCCCTTCATTTTATTTTTTTCCTGCTTGGTGATTTAGCTAGAATTCTTGTTAACACAGCATTTAGACTGAGGAAGAGTTGGTGGGAAATAATAGCTATCTTTTATGTGTTTGAGGTGCTATCATACAAAAAGTTACCTGTGATTCTAAATAAAAAGGACTTAATACTCAGAATCTCTTCTTTGTTTAGATGAAAAAATTGTGGCGCTCATACTGTGCCAAGAACCAGGAAATTGTAACATATATCTCTCCTACTGTGATAAGATAGGAGAAGCACTAGAGTATTAACTGCAAGGTCAGCAGTTCAAACACACCAGTCGCACCTCAAAAACCCTATATAGGGTGCCTATGAGTTGGACCAGACTTGAAGGCACTTAACAACAAGTTAAGATGTATACCGTGAAATGGGTAG